ATAGACTAGTCTTGCCCCCAGAGGGCAAGAAGTCAACAGGATACGATAAACCGGTCTTGCCCTCCTGGGGCGAGAAGTCCATCAGATCTCAAGGACTCAGTTCGTCCTTAAAGGGCCAGGAGAGGATGGGATCTGGAGTACTAGTTTCACCCTGAAAGGGCAAGTGGTTAGTGGGATGGGAGTGGTTTCGCCCCCAGTTGCTTTCTTACTGAAAGGGATGAGAACGTGCGACCCCGTAAACTAAGGCTTCGAAAAAGGAGAAACCTCTAAAATTCCGGGCTACGGGGAGAACTGGAGTGTTCACCAGAAGTCACAGCACATCTTTTCATCAGAGAAATCTACCATAATCCTCTGCCCTAATGGCAAGGTAGCCAATTCCTCCAGTTAAATAGCTAACGTTCCCCCGGCCTCCGAATAGGGCAGTTTTTCGTATCCTTATCCTGGCCCCAATTCCTCGCAGTATAGTCAACCAGGACATCCCTACTAGTAAAAGTCGGCGGCAGGTAACTGATGACATCTTTCTCCGTATAGGGAGCTCCGGTTTCCTTAAGGGCGTCAAGAATTCTCTTGGTGAGGTAGTCGGTGAAAACCACATCAAATGAAGGCGGGTAATGAGACAGGTTCGGGAAGCTGGCATTTGCCCAGAACAGTTTCATGTATCTTTCGTCCTCGATAACAGGAGAGTGTAAAGTGTCGTCCCCATCGTTGCCTAAGGCGTCGTGCGTTGTGTACCCTGGGCTGTATTGTTTCCGTTCCCCCTTTTGTTGTTCAGGCTTGTAAGAAAAAGTGGCCTGATGATAACTACGATCATCAAATATGCTCCGGAGTTCCAGGTGTGACTGATACTGGGATCCATGACCCTCTTCGCGAATCACAGTGGGATCATTATGGTCGCCGTCATCGATGCAGGAAACGTCTTGCTTTGCCTTCAACCATGAAGTCATCTTCTTAAAATCATCACATGACATATTCGCGATGTACTGGAAATGATTCGGAAAGGGCACGACAGCATAAGCGTCCCCTGTCATGAAAGGGCCCTGATAAATATTATCCCGGATTGTGCCGTCGTTGGAAAGCACGACCCGCGGAAGGTGTGCCCGCTCTTTGTTGACAACCGTATCAGCGAGGGCAACCTTTAGGAGCTCATAGATATTACCGTCCTGTCCCACTTTCTTGCAATTGAAGCAGTAGTCTTCTTTTGCGCAGCCTAGAAAGTGGGTCAGGTTGAGTAAAAGTCGGGCTTTGCTGATATCGTCGGTGACCTTGCGGCCCAGGGGCCTATCGAAGGATGCTGGCACGGACGGGTTGCTGGTGTCTCCTTCCAGGTTTACCGTATGGTACGCAAACGTTACACGGTTCCAGTCCAGGTATCGGCGATCTAGGAGATAAGGGGCATCCTGTATATCTCCTTGATTGCCTACGGCGCAGGACTTGCTCGGACGAGGCTCGTCACCCAGCAGTGCCTTCGCACCAGACCACGTAGGTGATGGCACGTTGTTCAAGGCCACCCATCCCACGGTATCGCAATACTTGCCAGATTCAATACCTGAGGATCTTTCGTCATAACACGTGAAGTTTCGATGATGGGCGTGGCCCCCGAAGAGCTGGATAGGCTTATCTGTCGAATTCCTGATCCTATCGCGCAGACACACCAGAGGATTATCCTTTTCAGGATCCACGCAAGGAGCGTACGTAGGCGCATGACCAACAATCACGTAGAGGTCAACCTCTTTTTTCATGGCTTCCTCAAACCACGTTTGTTCGGATATCCAGCCCGCGCTGTATACCTTTGTATTACTTAGATCCCTGAGGACAGGGTCATTGATAGTGACTCCAAACGCCACGATCCGTAGCCCATTTCTGGTCTGAAAAGCGCGATATCGATTGCCAATTGATTTAAAGACCCCATTTTCTTTTACGTCGACGTTACTGGTGAGAAACCGGTCACCAAAAACTCTCGATAGGTTGTGGTGGATGTTAAGCGCTTCTGCCCCGGTTCGAACGCCGTGGTTACCAATGGTCAGGAGATCGTAGTCAATGTTCTCAAAGATACTGTCTGAGACAGCTCCTTTAGGGCTTGTACTGTCGCTGAGGCCGCCACCGTCATGGAAGTCTCCTAGAAGAAGCAAATGTGACCACTTCAATATCGGAGATTCTTCTCAAAGTAAAACGCACTGACATCAAAGATAACTCACCACTATCGATAAGAAGAAGATCTACCTTCTTGCGTAAGGCTTTATCTTTCATGTGCATGACAAACGAGACGAAGTCGCCCCAGTCAGCACCCCAGCTGGGTACATTTGCGTGCCCGTCAAGCCATCCATGAGTATCCGTTGTGTGCAGAAAGTTGACCTTTCCCCAGGGAAGAGGAGCTCGGGGTATTTCAGTCGTATTAAAGGCTTCTTTTTGTTGTTGAGGATAAATAATGTTGTCGTCGAATGCAGTACCAGGCACTGTGACAAGTGCCAGCAGCGCTGCAGTAGAAAGCACAGAGTGAGATCGCATCTTGATAGATCTCGAAATCAGTAGCCTGGTTTAGGTCTGATAGGAGAGTGTTAGCAAGACCTATTCAACTGGTAGAGTCATACACTGGGTTGAACTCTTGCTAATAGAAGACAGGGTAGAAGACAGGATGGAAGACAGGAGACGCAGAGGAAAGGGACAGGAATACCTTAAGAATACCTGCCACTGCAGCTTATGGCATCTCCAGGTAGGGGCTGCATACCATCCCTGCTGTTTCGCTCTGATGTTACACAATGAATGCTGATGGGTTGGAGCTACTCTATCCGCAGGTTGCAGTTACATTTTGCCCATCAAACTACTATGGTTCCCTACCATGGTTCCCATCAGCCTAGCGATCCCACCGTCCAGGGATTACTTTTGAACATACTACGACTACTGCCAAATAATTGCTCTTATTAATGGTCAAGAAAGAAAAGGATAAGGTCTGGATTCCCCAGTATTTTAGCCGCGACATCACGAAGGGTGGTGAACCAGAAACATACAACCGTCATCTAGGCACTGACGGCTAGTTACGCTTCGAAGAGCTTTCCGTTTCCGACAACGACTAGGGTATATTCCCTAACCGGCTGCTAGAGTTATCCTGAACTAATTTTCGATAGTAAGTTCTGTCGTGACGTGTTCACAGGGTGTTGTGGATCGAGGCTCGATCAAGTACACAATATAGTTTCGTATACGGTATTTATTCCGTAGGAATCAGATTGATTTCCGGTGTAAATCCTCATGCTTTCTGATATGAAGAACAATAGATCCTCCTCTGATCACAACAGTTCTAAAAGCAATCAAGATCATGGGAGAGGTACAAATTGTGGCCATACTCGGTATGGCCGAATCCAATTAACTGATCTTCACTTAGTAGATAGCTACTACTATTCATATAGCAGTAAACCTACCTTCTACATAGCAATAAATTAATGAAATATCTTTATATTCTTCCTTCTATCTGATTATTCTACAGATTATAAGTTTAGAGCCTCTTATAAGAGCTCCAGGAATTATTCTTAAGTTCTTTCTAGAGTTGCATTTGGTGCGAGTTCGCGCGAGTTCAACCTTTAGTTGGCACTGAACCGCTGTGGTTCTGGGTTCAAAATCCAGGAATCAGAACCAAATTAGACCTGATCTTGGGTTGGTGCGGTTTTAACTGCAAAAATTCGCTACTATGCCTAGATACGCCATACTAACTAACCATTGTTGGATTTGGTTCAATTTTGATTTAATTCAGGTTGGTTAAATGATTGAATATTAATAGTTTTTAAGATTCACATTAACTGCCATACAATCTACCATACTATCACTATGCCTATAGAAGATTAATATTTTTTATACAAAATATATGATTATTATTATCATACTAACCTGGATCTGAAATATCAATTCAATATGTATAGGATTGAATGGGTGGTGCTTAAGCATCATCCTTAGACTATAATACTTATTAGAGGTTGATGCATATATATGTAAACCACCACCATTTTCATGCCAACCCCTGACAGAAACGGCAATTCCCTTATATCTCAGCAACCACTAGGTATTTTGAAGTAATATTTACATATTTAGATAACCTGAATCTAGAGATATCTAGGATTTAGTGATTACTAAGCAGAATGGTTTTTAGCGGTTTAACCGATGACGTTGACGCCCTGGATCCAACCCTAACCCGCGGCCCCGCCCTAATCCAGTGCGACTTTGCAATCTAGGAACTGAACCTCACTGCTGTGAGTTCGGTGAGGGTTGGATTTGATTCTAGCGGTTCTGTTATGCAACTTTAGGCTCTAGCTATCTTCATGCTATTTTAAGCCCAAGTACCCCTTATAAATTATCTTAGTGAAAAGTAATATTAGCCACTTAGAGCCAGCAGCTGGTCTGTCTAGTCTGCTACAGACTGTACTTAGCTTAGTGTATATAGTATTAACTTTGCAGCATTGCGGTTATTTGCAAATGCATTAGTAAGCTTAGGCTAAGCTAGTTCCCAGACTTTTGAATGTAGTGAGAGAAGTTTCAAAGTCAATATTTGTGGTATCCCAGCATCTTGTACGTGAGCTTGAAGCTTGCATTGTGCTTCTTGTGAAGAGTGGTCGATGAGACACCACCTTGATTACTATATAACCTCTATCGAAGGGAAAACAGGCTCTATACTTGACAGCTTCCAACGCAAACATAATGACCATGAGGGTTGTACCGAAATGAGCTCCTTGGCAAACATGGAACAATCGCACCTAAGTAGAACCTGGTCACGACTTTCAAGTTTCCCACTTCGAATGGTAAATTGGTCATCAAATATCACCGCCCAGTCCATCACCAACCTAGAAGGATACCGCTGCGTTGCGTCGATTAGCAGCGGGGGTCCGGAGATCACATAATGCAGACCCGGTTGTATCGAACAGAGGCGATTGTCGATTTTCCATTAGAATATCTCCGCGTAACATTCGAGACATGAGGTGGAAAGACACCAGATCTTTCAATAAGTACGTCAGTCCAAACTACTCCTCCTCCGAAGCCGCATTTTTCTTCGTTGGAATAGACTTCCTGTGCTCATGAAGAGCAAAAAACATCGTGAGGATGATGCCAGACGCAGCAAGCCCGACACCTAAGTACCAGGCTCCTCGATAGCCCCTCAAGAGATCTGTTCCGTTCTTGTTGAGATCAGTCTCGACTATTGCACCAAATCCGAGACCCAAAGAGATCGCATAATTCATAATGGTTGCAACCAAGCTGGCTGAGACCTGCAATCACAATGTTAGCTATTTTCTCCTTCTCAAAGCTGAATCATCAAACAGCATCAAGAGACTTAGCTCAAGGCCGTTTTGAAGGGGTTGAGTAGAGAACGGACTTACTCCTTGATGTTCTTGAGGCATCGCGTTTGAAAGTAGAATATTGGAAGCTGGAAAAGACATTTCCCTGGTCACAGTCAGTCAGTACGGACCCCAATACGAAATATAGTCATGAAGTAACTCACATGCCCCAAGGCATCACTATTATCGACACAAACAGCTGCGCCCAGTAGCTCTGTTTGATAGGCATGGTGGCATAGAGAATGTCGGCTGTGCAAAAGGCCGCTGCAGAGATCATCATGACCACACTGGCAGGCAGTTTTTGAAGGATTAACCCTGTTGTGAAGGAAGCAACAAACCCGCTGATGGCTGCAGGTGAAAACTGCAGACAACCAAATAGAGGTGAGATGCCTCGAAAGTTCTGAACAAACTCCCAGCCATAGAATACCCAGACTCCAAAGGCAGCCCATCCACATGCCAAGGTGGCCAGAACGAAGCTAATGTCTGGTGTGATGGCTGAAAATGGAATCAAGGGGAAAGCCGCCTTTCGCTCAATGTATCCAAATAGACCGAAGAACACCAACGAAGCGATCAGGAGGATATAGATGTATGGGCCCTGCCATTGCGCTCCGGGGGCCACGTTCAAGGCAATGTTGAAAAGGACGAGGCCACTAATCCCTGTGACGCATCCAGCGATATCCATTCTCGCCCATAGACTGTGCGTTGTTTGCTTTCGCGGTGTTGGGGTGCGTGGAACCAAGAATATGGCAACAATACCGCAGACCGCTTCCAAAATGGCCATAAACCAGAATCCCCAAGGCCACGATCGATATTTGGCAGCGAGAGCGGAAATCAGACTTCCAAAGATGAATCCACTGGGTGCCGTAGACCCGAAGGCGCTGAATACCATTTCCTTGCGCATCCCTGGCTCATATGATCTCGCCAAAATAGCCATTCCATTGGGAAGTAGAAAGGCAGGGCCAATGCCCTGAAGAGCCCGACAGCAACAAAAAAAGACAGGCCCACTGGATTCCGCGAATGCGGCAATCAGTGTCCAGATCGCAAGCCAGAAGAATCCAGCAGTGAAGAGGAGTTTATGGCCGTACAAATCGCCCAAGCGACCAGCACCTAGGATGAATGTTCCCACCGTCAGAGAGTAGGCTGCCGGAAACCACGAAAGTTGACTCATGTTGTTGCCGATACCAAATGATTCCCCAAGAACAGGGAGAATTGATATCACTTGGCCAAGACCAGCTTGACTCACAAGTTGGGCCATGCAGACCACGACGATGAACGCAATCTCGCCAGATAGTGACTGAGGACGTTTGACGTCCAGGTCCTCATGGGACCCTGTTAGTGTGGACGAACCGTCGTGCTCTCCGTCAACCCCGTGTACCGCATCGTCAATGGCATCGTTGCGTGGCATGATGGCGTTGGTGTTTACGTTTGCGTTTTCTAGAGACTGCTATTATGGTCTCCTTCGCCTGGGTCGTCGAGTTGTGGTGATTGTTTACACACCAACATACAATGATGCCTGGAGATGCAATAGTATATTGTGATTGTAATAACTGACTTGATTGATGGTAAATGCGACGGTACACTTCAAGCACTGTGCAAACAGTTTTACCCCTGGCTGACTCAACAGTGAACTCCACTTGAATTCTGACCTGTCCTGCACACTGTCTTCTCGATCCGAAGCCGTCGGGACGGGACAAGACAAAACCACTTTAGCACGTCAGTGGCCTCGGGGACAGACCAGCTGTACGTATAGCACTCAACTTGAGTACTTTGGTAGATAACCGGTGTTGGGACAATTCTACACACCTGTCCGAATTGGTTCGGATTTCGGCTATCGAAGATCCACAGGGCCTCATTTCAAAAGTCCGTTGAGGCTTCGGTAATTCGGTAATCTTATCGTGTCAATTCCGAGGTTTGTTATCAGATCCGAAGCCCCTGCCTGATAAGGCGCAACCGGCAGGTTGTGTTTGTGCATCCAGAAATGCTACCACTTACACAAAGATCCGCGGTTCTGGTCACTGTCGACGCTGTGGCAGTTATCTCGTGAGGGAAATTTGATTGTCATTAAAATCCGCATCCGATTAAAATTTCTACCATGTCATATTTATCGAAATGCACCAATTCCAAAAGTCCTTTGCGTTCCTGAATCCACCTTAACATGTGATTCGTCATTCTTGGGCTTCCATTACCTGTCAAACACTCCTGTGTCAAGGAAGCTGTTTACCGATGGAATTGATGTACGGTCGGCTGACAAGCAACACTCGTGCCCCATCAGGATCTCTCACCGTCGCATAGGTCGCCAGAGGTTCCGAGCCAAAACTAAATGTTGCGATGTGAGGTTTCCCTCCCATACCCAACCTGTCCAAACGTTCCAAGGTGGCATTGATCTTGTCCCCCATCCAGAAAGATGTCAGGAACAAACCCGTGTTGGGAGGATCTGAATCGACCGTAGGAATCTTCTTGGCATCTGGAAACTCGACGAGGTAGATGACGCCATCCGTTCCGTTGTAAACAGATGTCGTATCGCCGAGAAAGTAACCGGGTAGAACAGAGGTGTTAGTTCCGAAGAGAGTCGTCAGATCCCCTTGAAAAGTGTAGTTTCGTATGATGTCGAGCCCGAGTCCATCCACATAGAACCTCAGACTTTCCGACAAAGAGCTGGCCGAAACTACAGTATGGTGAACTGCATACTGTGGCGCAATTAGATCATCTAAAGACAGGTATTGGACCAGATTTCCCGGTCGAGACTCACATGAGTATCCGGTTCTTGCAAGATCGTCGGAATTTGCGCCGGAGGTGAAGCACCAGTTAATCCTGCCGAGAGATGCAGGAGAAGCTGGAAGAGCGCAAATCCAGCCATGTTGAACGAAGCAAATCTGATCCGCATGGAACGAAATTCGTCAACGGGGAAGTTCTGGGGAGACGACGACCGAAATATATGTGTATCGTGCTTGGACAAACCAACCAATCGAAAATGATGCAAGGCAGAGGGAGTTATTGGCTGTCGTTTATGTCTCGGATAAACAATACCCACTTTCGGAATTCAGTCCGGAGTACGCGTTCACAAGAACCTTGAACATGAACTGCGTGAGTCACAGATCAACAAGGGACTGGACTGGTGAGTCCTTTTCGCTGGCCAGATGCCACTGACGTCGCAATATCTCCCCGGAGCACAAAACAGCGCAGTGTACTTAGCCGCAGACCGGATTATAGATTATAAAAAAGGGGGCGCAGGCGCTAACCTCTTCGCAGTAAGTCCATGACCACCGCACGTCTCATTTATAGCTTGCCTGTGTAATATCCCAGTCGCCCATTGCCCTTCGAAATTGCGGTGAACTGCATTTTTTAGGCTGGAGTATTCATTCCTCACTGCCATATCTTGCAGACACGACACTAACCGTCCTCGCAATCTCTCAGCTCTATTTCGAATCCTTTCGTCAGAAATATGACTGAATTCTCCAGCATAGTGCCTCCTGGAGGCCTGGTAGTCGTCACTGGCGTCACAGGTTTTATTGGCTCGTACATTGCGAACGGGCTGCTTGAGCTTGGCTACAGAGTGCGCGGAACCGTCCGCTCGAGTGAAAAGGCAACCTGGGTGACGCAAGCCCTGAACAAACGCAACCCTTCTGCAGACTTTGAGGCTGTCATCGTACCAGACCAGAATGCCCCCGGAGTCTGGGACGCAGTTCTCAAGGATGTCGATGGCATCGCCCATGTCGCAGGAGACGTGAGCTTCGGACCCGACCCGACCAAAGTCATTACGCCAAGTGTAGAAGCTCTTCGAAGACTTCTTGAGGCTGCCAGAAAAGAGCCTTCAGTCAAGCGTTTCGTATTCACCAGCAGCGATCAAGCAGCAAGCAATCGTTCGACTACTCGAGAGATCCCGATCAATGAGGAAACTTGGAACGAAGAGGCCATCAAAGCTGCGTGGAAACCACCCCCTTACGAGGCGGAACGTGGGTGGGACGTTTACTCTGCACTGAAAGCGCAAGTCGAGAAGGAAATGTGGAAGTTCAGCCAGGAGGAGAAGCCAGGCTTCGTGGTAAACTCTGTTTTGCCAACTTACACAATAGGGGCCATCTTCGACGAGCAACAGGCAGGTAGCACGGCGAAATGGTTGCTAGACTTCTACAAAGATCCATCAAAAGATGGCTTCATGAGAGGTTTCGGAGCCTCGTATTATGTTTATGTCGGAGATGTGGCGCTCTTGCACATTGGTGCGCTGACTCTAGAGGAGGTAAAGAACAAGCGCTTGTTGGCATTCGCGGGCCGTTTCAATTTCAATAGTTGGCTCGAGGTTTTCCGCAAACAAGACCCTGGCAAGCCTTGGCCTGAGGATGATCCTACCCAAGCGCTGGATACAAGACGAGTTAATGGTGAGACGGAATTGGATATACTCAGGCGGTTTGGGAAGGATGGTTGGACAAGCTTTGAGGACAGCGTCTTGAAGGTACTGGAAAGTCCTTGATATCTAAAGACATGAATACATTTGGGGTGTGAAGTATGCCCGGTTGCAGATCTACTTGGAAATTGAGTTCTGTTTCACGCTTCTAAAAACATTGTACTTGGTCTGAGAATCGTCAACGCTGTAGGGGTTATTGCTGGCAATCCGGATAACGGCTCATGAAACCTCTTTGCTCAGCTAGTTGTGATTTGGTGCTATTCCTATTCTACCATGTAAGAGATGATAAAAAATCCTCCTGCCTGATCATCTAACTGCCGCCGTTCATCTTGGTTTGGGGGAAGTTGATTGAGCTCTTGACAAACGGTACCCGCAGTCCACTCTTGACACTCAAGACCTGGGCTTTCTCCCAATCCCAAACTTTGCCAATGGTGAAAGGATCACGTTGGAGAAGATTCAAAGCTTCCTTCTTGTCATGAGCTTGAATCAGAACCCAACTACCACGCTCTATATTCTCTTCATGATCGTCGTACATAGGGCCTACATTTGCAACGCGTTAGCAATCATTATATTCCACACCTCCGCATTCTGTATTACCTCCGGCAAGCCAGTATTCTGACTCTCGTTCAACGAAACGTTCGTGAGGGCTAGAGAGCTTTAGAACCGTGTCATATTCGTGGATCGGACCAGGGCTTACTCGGTCCAGGAATCTCGGTTCTTGAGACCATCCGGGCCATCTGGTAAGATGAACAGAAATTCGTGCTTTTCAGGCATTTTGGTGGTTTCCAAGTGATTGATTGGGAGAACAATTCAGGGACTTGCAGAACTACTTTGCGCCGCATCAAAGCTAGAAAGTGATACCTTCCGCTTATGAAGTCGGGCTGGTCGATGCTCACCAAATTGTTGAGTCTCACGTGGAATCACTGTTCCCGACGCTCGGCTCTGAACATGACGGAGATAGCCGGGTCGATGAAAGTTTTGACCACAGGAACGTCATGGCATGAATTCAATCCGCTTAAAGCGGCTACAACCAGATCTACTGATGACGTGTACTGGGCCCCTGCATATTTCCCTGCAGTGTGGTGCTTTCAGTTTAGTAATCTGTGACTTTGTGACTTCCCTGTCTGATGAATTCAAATGACCCGTCTGCAACCGTATAGCTACATTTAGATCCGGTGCCAAGGTTGGTACGGACTAGTATATATACCGGAAAGCAGGACATGGTTGTGTTGCGGCATTTTGCTCCAAGAGTTGTCCTATCATAAAGTGGTGCTGCGATATGCGCGAGGGATGACACGTAATCTCGGAAATACCCCGTAGTCGACGTATCCTAAGAACCTGCGCAGTTCTGTTTAGTACTTTTGTTCCAAGGCTCGGGCCGGTCCAGGGTCCAGACACCATCGGTTAACACAAGGGCCGTGCCCCGACGAATCACGAGCTAATACTCAAGGGAAAAATAAACTGGTAGAAGGATCTCAAATTGGTAGCTTGATTGATGATCTTCATAAGTTCCTAGTGTAATACAGGAGGCGTTACTAGCTCGCTTCCACCCTTGGCCCTCCAGCTTAGTTACCCGGCATCTGACCTTTACATTAATATTGGTATTGTCGAGAGTCAATTGCTTTTTCACTATTTTCAACCACTCTTTAGCTAGTTCCCAACTGCTTGACAAGTACTTGCATTTTGAATTAAATCCTCTGCCTCATGAAAATCGCCCACTAATATATACAATGTAAGTATAACCGTTGATATCAGTACATGGGTACTCAGAGAGGTCATCTGTATACTCGATTTATAGCGTGCAAAGGGGGTTTGATTTTGCATCCGTTAGGTGAATGAAAGCACTTGGTTGCTAAGTAATTCCAAACCAATTAATAAGTACGTACCAGTTGGACGGCATACCTCTTCGATTTCCTAAACTTCGCCTATTTTGAAGATACGTCTTCAATTTTGCCAAAACTAAAAGAAATATCCTCTTGATCCATGTTGTCATGGCTGGCAAATGAGTTTACAACTGATTGTTCTTTGAAATTCCAAAGGGACGAAATAGATAAGGAAGATAATTGAGATCAAATGTCGCGGTATGTGGTACGGTACAGTATTTAAAAGCTGTGGTGCCACGCCGCTTCTGCCAAGCCCGGTAGGGCCGGCTGCGGCGTCCGGGAAGCGCCACCTGACCTGTGTACTCCGTTTTCATCGATTCAGTTTCAAACCCGTATTGCGTAATCATTCCTCAGTCCTTGGCATTTCCTTCACCTGGCTTTGCCCAGGAGCAGCTCCCTGAGTATCCTGAGATATTATCCATTCAGCTGAGGTGGTTTCCTGAGTCTTAGAGAGCCGGTGCCTGGCATTGCGATGTTCTGGTTGAAATCGATGACCTGATAATCGATCTCGGTGTGGTGACCGAGGCACTTTATAAAGCTCTGCAGCGCGGCGACCACTTGGAATCTTGCCATTTCTAAGAGCTCTTATTGCAAGTCGAAGCGTTCCCTCATGCTCCACCGATGTTTGAGACGATCGACGCGCTTTTGGTGGCGAGGTGGTAGTTTGAAGACCAGTAATAGCTACTATGAGTATACGCGTCCAAACTTGATGGGGTGGTTTATGTAAGGCAGTCGGGGGCGGAACAACGGAGACTTTTAACCAGGTACGACCAGGTACGGTACTATAGTAGACGGTCTTATTATTACTGCGGACAATGGATTCTGACAAATCGACATCAGGATCGACACCAGGACAGCATCAAAGGAGACCGATTGAGGTTGCGCTTTTAGACAGGTGGGCTTCCCTCTCTTCATATCTTCATCTTCCATATATTTAATTCTCTTTATTTTCTCCGCAAAGCTCTTCGCCCATGACTGCAGTCAAATAACATTCAATCGCTACTCACAATGACCGCCTCATCCCTAGAAGGGCAGGAAATCGCATCGTATGATTCCAAAAATTCACCATCGAGGCATGGTGATGGTAAGTAGCTCTCAAAGATATCCTGCAGAAGCTGGGGGCCTTTTGACTAACTCCTACAGATGGAGGTCTAGGTTCTGCACCGACTGCGAGAGATGAATACGTCTACATTGCCGATGGCTACGGCATGATTCGGCGGATCATCTTCATCATGACGGTGTGTTCATCCATGTTCACGAATCAGTTGGGCCTATGCAACAGCCTCACGACGCTCGAAATAATCGGAGACTCCTTTGGTGTCACCGACCCTGGCAAACTCTCGTGGACAATCGCTGGCTACGGCTTGACCCTAGGCACATTCATCTTGATCGGAGGACGTTTGGGCGACGAGTTTGGCAACAAGGCAATCTTCATCATCGGTATGGGCTGGCTCGCGTTGACCAGCATGATGGCAGGAGTCTCCGTCTACTCCAGCTACCCCGTCTACGTCCTTGCTCGTGTCCTGCAGGGCCTTGGTCCCGCCCTAACTGTGCCTAATGCACTCGCCATCATGGGCAAATGCTTCTCCGAGCACCCTCGAAACATGGGGTTCGCCTGGTTTGCTGCATCAGCCCCGGTCGGTGCGATGGCAGGTCTCCTCTTTGGGCCCCTCTTCGCCATGGCTTGGTGGCCGTGGATCTACTGGAGTCAGGCTTTGGGGGTTGCCTTTCTCTTCGTCCTCTCTATTGTTGCAATTCCAAACATGCCTGTCGAGGGTGAGCAAAAACCGCGACGGACGATTCGCGAAATCTTGGACCGAGTTGACCTCCTGGGAGGCGCAAACGGTGTGACAGCTCTGGTTCTGTTCAACTTCGCCTGGAATCAGAGCCTGGTCACTACGTGGGACGAACCTTACGTCTACGTATGCCTAATCCTCAGTTTCTTGTTCCTGGCGGCGTTCCTTTACATCGAACTTCGCGTAGCTCGCTATCCAATCCTACCTGTCGCCGTCCTCACTTCCGACATTGCCTTCGTCTTTGGTTGTACAGCAGCGGGCTGGTCCACATTTGGCATCTGGGTAAGTACTGATCTTTGCCCCGAGATTATGTCAAACTAACCAAGTATCTAGCTTTTCTACGTCATCCGAATATGCCTCAATGTCGGTGGCCAAACTCCCATTCAACTGGCTGCATGGCTTTCTCCTATCCTCGTCACCGGCATCGGAACAGCATTGATTGTGGGCAAAATAATCACCAAGGTTCCAGCTGCGTCCATCATGTTCTTTGCAATGCTTTGCTACTTCCTCACTTCCCTTCTCATGGCCTTGCGACCCGTCCACTCGACGTACTGGACCTACTTCTTTTTCGCCACCATCATCGCCACCTTTGCAATGGATTCATCGTTGCCTGCTGCCACGATCATCTTCGCGAACGCAGTGCCTCGACAGTACCAGGGCATGGGATCCAGTGTGATCATGACGATTGTTGTCTACAGTATATCGCTAGGTCTTGGTTTCGCTGGTACCATTGAACTTCAGATCAACAATGGCGGACACACCAAGGCAGACTTGCTTCATGGTTACCGGGGTACTCTCTGGTTTTCTGTCGGGTTGACAGCATTCGGCACTGCTCTCGCCCTTACTTTTCTACTCAAAGATCATCGTAGACGAAGGTTGGCAAAAAATCGGGAGGAAGAGGAAAAGGCTGATTCGACTGAGGCTTGAATGGTTGAAGAGTTGACCACTCGTCGACCATTCTTTGAACACTCCAAACGACCAAGCATAATTAGAAGAGTTTGATTATCAAATCGGCTTATACAACGAGTATTTAGACTGGTAGTACTTATGAAAACATGGTAGTCAGGTTCTGCAAAGTCTCCCGACCCCCGTCCGTCTCCGGAATGTATAGTGGAAGGTATTTACAAGGTATTCATTCTATCAAGAAGAGCCTGCACTGTAGCCTTTGGTCCGTCGTCCGTCATCAGGCGTCTGTACCCGTTGTCTATCGTTTATGGCATAACATCTTATCATCTATTGTGTGTCGTCTATCATGCGCCACCTAAACTCCGTCATTCAGTCTGATCTTTCGAATCTCGGCCCATCAAAGTTTCCAGACTTTTGAGCGAGCTGCGTAAGCTTGAGAGCATCGGCTAACGGCAATTCGTTGTCCAAGCTCAAACCTCCGAAAATTCCACAGCACATACTTAAGTATGGCAAGCTTTTCTTGGAACCGCTACTCACAATATCCAAGAAAGTCACACAGATCGACACTGCGATCAGGTTGATAAGCTCGCTAGAGATCTAAGGTTAGCTAACTCATTCTCCCTGGATTAGATGTCCTTGTCTCACCCGCCCAGTATGTCACAGCTTGCGATTCGAGCCGCGATGGCTAACACGGCTTGGGCTGATTTTACGCAAAGTTCCATGCTCTTCTTGCGATAGTGTTCGGAGATTAGTCCTTTGGACTGGCTTCCGGTCCATGGGAAGAAAATGATAAATATGGCCTCATGATATTTGCGAACCATGGTCAAGGTCAAATGGCGCGTCTTCTGGTCGTCGAGGGTGACATACCCCGTTTCGTGCCGATGGATATTCTGCAGATGTATTGGAAGACCTGTTCTCCAGCTTTCGAGGGCCTTGTGTGCCTGCATCAGATTTCGTTCTCGCTCGGCCACAGTTTGGCAAAGAGCCCTTGAACTGTAGAGCGTATTGACCGCTGAGCTGAGAGCGTTGGCATGTTGACATTGGATGAGCAGCCAATCGGTATCCTTGCCGACTTTGGGTAGCGCATAGTCGGTCCAGTCGGGGGTGAGGATCTGTTTCGGACTGTCAGAGGAGTCCGCTCATATATCTGTGGGAAAGGGAGAGACTGGGTCTCCACCCGGAACTTACCGGTGGCATTCCATGGCGTATGGAATGGACGACTTCCATCGAGTAGAGGTACCATAGACTTCTCCTTGCAAGGTATTCTTCCTCTTTTGCCATGGTCATGTATACCGAGTCACGATTCATAAACCTTCGGGATCTGGCACAGCTGACTGCGTATGACAAAAGTTCAGTGTGGATTTTGTCATCGATTTGCTCAGAAATTGTCATCTGGAGTTTGGTTAGCTGTTGGAAAGGAAAGTTCAGAACCTTTATCGTACCATTGCTAGAATCGTCTGATCAATCAACATGTGACCAATTCCACGTAAGGAATTACTGACTTACCTGCATCTTCAGGAGTGTGTCGGGCGACCGCTGCACGGCATCGCGAGAGCTTAATGCCATTCTTAATCGAGAGATCGCCTTCTTGCTCACCTCAGAACCTGCAGAGGGAAGTGATCTTGCGGCCAGGGCTTGAAAGCCGAAAGCCATAACTGAATCAATCAGTGGTATCACAGCTAAGCCCTCAATGGATGGCGAGTCCCTTGCTTGTTGAACATAATTGTCGAAATGTGATCTCGTCAAAAAAGTGGGAATGCTAACATGGCTCAGTCTTATCGCAATGGATGATACGGAGCTGCGACGTACCCAAGGGGTTCTTCAAAACAAGCTGCTAAAGTTAGACTCTGACGACGAGTTGAATCATATGGCGTGGGCCGGGCACATACCGGACTTGTACTTTTCCATCAATGCTGTGTCGCTCCAATACCAGCGTGACTGGGTGGAGTCATATTGCTCACTGCCGAGGCCATATGACATCTGAGACTGAGCGTCAGAGAGTCGTCTGAAAATTCCATCTACTTCGTCTTGTTGAGTCGGGCTTAGATTTCCGAGGCGCTGACGCTGTGGCGAGAAAATTGCCGTCAGAGAGAAGTCGATTCTTGGGCTCTGGTCTTTAACTCCCACACCATTAGCAATTGTCTTAGAAGCAGAGTAGCATCTACCGTCCCTGGAAGATTCCTCACTGCAATCTGCAAAGACTGTGTTAGCGCATCTGGTATTCATACGGTCACTTGCTGAAACAGTGCAACGAAATGCCTCCTGATCAAAGCTTACCTTTGGACTAACTTCTTCCCACATTTTCTCATCATAAATGTCCCTCATTGGTCCAGTCGGAGACAATGGCAAATTCAGCTCGAATTGCGAGGTTGAAGGCAGATTTGCTGATGCATCGGTAGTATGTTCGATTGGATAAGGGATGTCAAAATTGGTTTCCGAATAGTTGGTGTTCGGGGGTGACCAAGGTAGCTTTCCCAGCCCGCTCATATTGCTCATGTCGACAGAGAACGGTGCTGCCTGACTGTCACTGCCAAACCACTCGATAGATGTGGCCGAGAAATCGTCGTGAGCATACCCATCAAACATGACCGGCATGATATGCCGGTCATTTGCGGCAAACATCATCTCCTGGAGACTACTGCCTGCATTTCCGGAAACACGGTTGGCTGCTCCAAGTCGTGTGGCTGTTAATTCTGGCAGTATCTGTATGTCATTCGGCGAGGAAACGAGGGTAGTGACTCCAGCGTCGTTGTTTTCTGCCGGCGACGGCACTGCTGAAACGTCCTCGGCTGTTGAAGCCATCGGAGGCTTATTGGAGGTCTGCTGCTTCTTCGAGAGCTGGTACTCGCACTGCAGATTATGCAACTGATGAGGCGTATTAGCCGATGCTAACCTGCTCAGGAGCTTTGTTCTCACGTTACAATATCTACATGGCGTCCCCCCATCGCCTGTGCCATACCCCAAGTCAGCAAAATCAGATCGGGTACCGAGGTGGAGCTACGCACAGCGGACTTTCTTCGACTTGCACATCTCACATGCACCTCTGCGCCTAGACATCCATTTCTTTTTCCTGACAGAAGAAGAGACTTCAACTCGGTCTGCTTGCATCGTTGTACAAGATGTTGATGGGCAAATAAGCAGTTAAATTTGTCCTTTGCGTTGAGACCGGCCGACTTGCTTGGAGTCATTAAATAAGCCCCAACGGCGACGTTTTTTTTTTTATATATATTCTACGCTATCAGCTCTGCCGCGCCTGACGAAATGCTGATCGGAATCCTAGTGCAGCCACATGCATGACATCCCTGCACCTGAAGACCCTGGCCCTCCTAGTGCTTATCAGGATGATGGGGCCGGTCAGGATAATGGGGCCGGGCGGTTACATGGTACGTCTGAGCTCTCTAATACCCGTGCCTTGGCCTAAATAGGCAGGCTCACCCCTCTTGGCGAGTCATTTGATACAGACTAGTTTGCGTTATCTCAGCCACCGTGAAATTCTTGAATTTTTACAGTATGTTACATCAGATCGTCAGTCCAACTGGTGCTTGACGCAATGATTTCCATGGGATGGCGTGGTCTTGGACTGAGGCACGTTGGCGTAGCCTCACTACTTGTTAATTGGCAGAAATTTTCTGGGAGCCTCTGTTTGGTTCTAGGTCTTCACGGGTGCGTGCGACCAGTTGCTCGTGATTGTCCATGTCTGTTCCAGCACCTTCGTCACTGATCGACAATGGATCCCCAGAAGGGAAGGTTCTTCGAGTGAGGTTTATAAACATATGGTGACTGTTCCCTTACATTCCCTTTTCCCCAAGGATTAGTTGTTGACTCTATATACATACTACCGATTGACCCAACTGACCCAGAGACAACTCCGCCCAACCTTACCATATATCCTACCTGGTCGTTACTGCTCTAACAGTATCCGTAATATGACCTTCGAGCCAGGTCAGGGCTCGTCCTCAGTAAAGAGATGCTAAGTATGCTGCTTGTGCTCGAGTGTCGGTCAAAGAAGTGTAGATTGAGGCTTGTGATGACATAGTATCTCCAAGGGTAGTTGTCGTGGTTCTGTATCGCTTTATCATGAAGACATAACAGGGGTCATGATTATCATAGGCTTCAGTATTTTCAGCGAATCGGGTAAATCCGTGATAAATGATAGAGTATCTGATGTGCAAACGCCTTCGCGTTGGAGTTGTCGTCTTGTCTCGGCCTCAAGTATTCTATAAGGAAGGATGGAACTCAGAGAGAGTGGGTAACAGAGGTCAATGTACAGTAGCACTCTCTTGCATTCTCAACTATGGTTTGTCTTCGTGAGGACGGAGTACATGATTTGTCAATGGCACCAGAATTGTCTTGCCAACACTTTTTGATGACAATTAATTGGGGACTATGGAAAACACAGCCAGATCGCCATTGAGATAATTCATTCAAGGCATCCAAACGGGCTATCATCTCTTGAGCAGCATCCAGGGTAAGTCAATAATAACTCGATATACCATAACCATCAGAGTCATGCTTTTCTCTCCCAAATCCCGGATAGGAGGTTTGAATGTCTGAACAACTGGCGTCAAAGTCGCCCCTGTCACAATTCCTCCGCCCGGAATCACAATCTCGCCCTTATATACCACAGCATCAGACCCGTGAATTGGTAGGGGCATGTCGGCATAGTCGATCCAAGTATTTTTTGCGGCGTCGTAAGCCTGCATCTCAGGGAAAACGGCAGTGGGAGTACGGCGGTCCCCTTCTCCGCCTGCCATGAACGTCTGAGAACCGATAGTAGCAGAAGCGACTCCCCCACGCGCAATAGGCATGGGCTCATACGCTGTCGACCATTGGTGAGAGGTGAGGTTGAATCCAAACACTGTGGACACTACGTTCTTGTTCCCAAACTCTCGTCCCCCCAATATATACAACATATCCTGATAGATGCCTTTACCAGCGTGATCCCGCGGGGCAGGCAGGTCCGGCAGGGTCGTCCACTCTTGGGTTCTCACATTGTACGATGTGAATCGGGACACTGTTCCTTCCTGATCATAGGTAATGTTTGTGTATGCAAGTCCTCCGGGGAGGTAGATGGTGTCATCAACAACCAAAGTCGCTGCACTGCCAATTTCTCGTCCTTCGGGCATGCTAGGCAGTACGGTCCACTCGTCGGTGGCGGGATCATAGACTGCTGACTTGCCTGTCGCATTCCAATACGTTTCATCGACTGCTTCCAAGCCGCCAAGATAGTAGATCTTGTCATCGACGACGGCGACATTGGCATGATTCAGAGCGGCAGGCATGGGTGCCGTCTCTGTCCATGTGCCGGTTATCATGTTGTATTTCTGGACGATATTGGTGGTAGCGTATTCCTTGCCATCCCACGGCAGAATGCCGCCAAGAACATACATCTCGTCGCCAACCAGGACCGCTGCGTGCTCTTGGCGAGGGTATTCGAAACCATCGCGCGTGATGTTGGGCAGTGTTGACCATTTACCAGAAAGAGGCCTCTCGTTGGTTGGCAGACCCTCACAGCTAGGAGCCAGAAGCAGGAGCGCTGTAATGACAGCCGAAATCATCTTTGTGGTATGACAGGAGTTCAAGAAGCACCAATTGAGCCGTGCATAACTTTCACGTTTATGATTGTCAACTATGAGCGCACAGAGCCAGCGGCGTGATTGATAGTAGCTTTGAGCGGCCGAGCCAGGAATGCCTTTGGTGTGTAGGGGTCGTTCAGGAATAGATGGAGCATCTGGTGAATTATCTGCTCGCATTCTACTAGCCCACGAGGTTGATCACACGTGAAAGGTCGGACAGTAGCGTTATCCGATATTGCTGGGGCATGGTAGTGTGTTCGCGCCACGTACCAAAAGTACGAGGGATCACCCGACAGGACCTTGCCAGATATCGTATACACTAACCCCGACGAGTCGACGACTATAATCTGACAGCTCCACTCGGCGTGCCGCGACCCAGCAATAAAAAGACACATTGCCAGACCGGGGTGGGTCCACAGTCTCTGATAACCGGATAGCCGAAGTGATTCAGTGTTGAAAAAGTGCTGGATCCGAAACCACTAGGCCTGCCAAAAGCACCCCTCGCTTTCGAGGTTGCATCGATGGCCCATATCTTACCGCGATCGGCTCCGCGCGGAGCATAAGATGTGATTCGCCTCGCAGCATGTGGCCCCGAGGCAAATTCATCCTGATCAAGGGCGCGCCAACGCTGGAACCCTTGCTGAGGAACGCAAACCTGATATGACCGTCGACTGATGTCATCTCTCAGGCCTGTCGGAACTGCAACTTCATTGATGGGTGGTCAACGAATCTGCGACGTGGGCTAGTGGTTCTTCGACCGATTTAATTCGTGCTCCGTAGAATTGGGTGACCAGAAAAGGCAGACCGGACACTGAGTGTCACCTGGCATCTGAGTGTCCTGCGATCTGCCACATACAGGGGCTTAATTCGATCTAGAGATTCCAGATCGAGTCATGTCTCCAATTCTTGAGGTCGGCATAGCGTTGACAGCTCTTTGTTCGACTGCCGCGTCGCGGTATACAACTCATGGTTCCGATTTCCAACCAGATCACATACTCCGAGTGTCTGAGCAAGTGTTTCCTGTAGCTTGCGTGACCCGGCCCAGCACGTTAGTCAATGGTTAGTCTAGCTCCCGTTTTCATCATAGTCGCCCCTGAGTGAAGCTCATGAAATTATCAATAGGAACCTCACCAGGTCCCGCGATCTACCTGAGGGAAGACCAAACCACTTGGGTGAGAGTATATAATGATCTGGAATCAAAGAATACTACTATAGTATTGACAAATCTCCTTTCACTATGAAACAAGTATGACCTGACGATATTCCAACAGCACTGGCATGGTCTAAGTCAGTCCACTGCTCCGTTCTCCGATGGTTCACCTCAGGCAAGTCAATGGCCGATCAAGGTAAGTTCGTTGAGAGGCTGGAATGGAAGAACAGATTTACTGATCAAACACAAAGCCGGGAGAATACTTTGACTATGAAATCAGGCCGAACGTCGGTGAGGCTGGAACGCATTTCTACCATTCCCATGTCGGATTCCAAGCAGTATCTGCAGCCGGACCTCTCATTGTCGAAGAAAAGCACGGTAAATCGCCACCTTTTATGTACGATGAAGAACGCATCCTGTTCATTTCCGAGCTTTACAACAAAACCGACTCGATGACGGAGACCGAGCTGCTCAGGCCCTATGATGTGGTCCGATGGTTAGTCGTAACTTATGCCGTCAACCCAGGGTCGAACAGGGTTAAAACTGATCTCTAACCGTTTTGCTCACGTTTTCCAGGACTGGCGACCCCTCAACAATATTGATGAACGGGAATAGTTTCCCTGGTATGAGTGCGAATGAGACAGATACGCCTGAGCCATGGGTCATGCCAGATCCATCACTCGTGGAAAGCTGTGGCCCCGAAGTAATTCAAGTTGATCCCGACAAGACATATCGCATGCGAATCATTGGTGGACCAGCTCTGAATCTCGTGACCTTGGGGTTCGAAGACCACCAGGAGCTGTCGATTATGGCTGCAGATGGGAAATACACCAAGCTGGCGAAAACGGAACGCATCCAGATTGCCTCCGGACAACGCTTCGATTTCCTTCTCCACACGAAGACGGAAGACGAGCTACGCCGTCTTGGAAAAAGTGCTTTTTGGATCCAGATGGAGTCACGCTATCGACCTATGAACGTCTCGTCTTACGCGCTGCTCTCGTACAACACTACCAGTGATCTTGCCTTCAACCAGACTACAGACTTGGTGCCTCCCGAGAAACAGCCCCTAACCCTGCCGAACAAGGTCTACGACTGGCTGGAGTATGTTCTTGAGCCTTTGGAGCCCAACGGGTTTCCAACCGCCGACAAGGTGGACCGGACGGTGGTCCTGACATCGCTCCAGCTTATCGCGAAGGAGGGCGTGTATGCGGCTGTATCGAACCACACTTGGACCGAAACCAATCAACATAGGGGAAACACTCCATTCTGGAAACGGGAGCACCAGGGGGGAACCCCATATCTGGTTGACATCATCAGGCGCGGTGACAAAGCAATACCAGATTACGAGACCACGGTGCGGAAGCATGGGGGTTGGGATCCCGATCTCAACGTGTACGTAGCCAAGGTTGGTGAGATCATCGATATTATCATGGTCAACCAGCCGAATGGTCTGGACATCGGTTTCGACCTTCATCCATGGCATATTCACGGCGGCCACATCTATGATCTTGGCAGCGGGCCTGGCTCGTACAATGCGACCGCTAACGAGGAGAAATTGAAGGGTTACAACCCCGTGATAAGAGATACGACCATGCTTTACAAATACACCCCGGGCCAGTATGTGGGCGAGAATAAGAATTTTACGGACCAAGGATGGCGGGCCTGGCGATTACATGTTCAGGATCCTGGGTAAGTCTCCTTCACTCACGTTTTGTGGAAAATAATTGTGTGCTAACACCGTGTTTTTTGTTTGTGTCGCTCCAGGGTGTGGATGGTACACTGCCACACACTTCAGCATATGATCATGGGAATGCAGACTGTGTGGGTGATGGGCAATGCATCAGAGATTACCCGTGGAATATTGCCGGAGTCTTTAGAAGGCTATCTAAATTACGGAGGTGATGCATATGGCAATGCTAGCTACGATCCCATTGTCCAACATCATTTCCAAGATGGATTGCAACAGATCCTCCAATGAAGGGAGAGGATGTCAACTGGAATGGAAGAACACAAGACGTTATCGGAGGGCAATCGTCCAAGTGTGAAGATAATTATAATCTATACCGTTATGTCAAAGATCGAGAGTGGTTGATTGCACTTCCCAGAAGTTGAAGAGTACTTTGGATAATGAACCTCAGTGATTTCCTTTATCATAGATTCCTGATTGGTTTTATTTCGTTTAATCGTCTCGTAAAGTACTCTTGTCCAAAAACAGAATTTGGCTCTCCGACCCCGGTCGAGCAAAGGCGATGCCAGTAATTCAAGATAAGAAGAGTCGCAAAAGGAGAATAGTATCCCACACATGAAGGTACCAGTCATGCATGCTATCATACCTGGAATGCTGAAGTAGAGTCATGATCCACAACACTGTGGAGGGGAGAAGCCTCCGGTGTCCAGCATGAGTCATTCGAAAAGCTCAAAGCCTTGGGTTCGTGGTGCTGGATAGCAAGGTCTTAACAGAGACGGAATAATTGTGTGTTAGTGGCCCTCGAGCTTCAGGCGCTACAGGAGTGGCGTTACTGTGTCCAGTTTCCGGCCGGGGTCTAATTCTAGTCTGTGGCTGCCCGGGAAGTCGCACTAGGCATTCGGGCTTGCCGATTCTGGATGCGGATCTGGCCTTAGCTTACTTCGATTTTTAGTAGAGTATGGCTTGCGTGTCCCTATAAGCTAGTCTGGAATAGTCTATGAAATAGGTGGCTTCCCTTAGCCTTAGTGGCTAAATCCACGGGATACCCCAGGCGGACATCTGTGGCGTCCTAGAATGAAAGCAATAAATCACATAGGCCAGCGCATAACTCTAACACTAACCCGACAGGCGGATTCAGTCATCAACATCTCGAACAAAATAATCTGGTGGGGATCGCCCTCATTGCGTCTCGGAAACTCGGAAATTCGGACACGTGTCGTTAGCATGCAGAAATATAAATTCCCGGCTATGCAGGCGCACCGATATCAAAACTGATATCCGATACGTCGGAATCAAGCATGCAGGAGTCTTTGTCGGCCTCGTCTCCTAGCCGGCATATAGAGAGCTCAACGACATTCAGTATGGATAACAGGTTGCTTCTACCGACTTGTTCTCGGCGAATCCACCAGTTCAACGAGGATCTTCGGTGTTACTCCTACATGGATGATGTCAGAGCGATGGAGTACTATACCGAGGAGCTGCTTCCTCCAGGCATGCTAAAAGCGTGTCTGCATCCAGCGGCTCTTTGGCACCATCTCTCTTACAACACCGTATCTACCGGCTAGGCTCGGAAAACATGCCACTCAACGGAACGGTCGGTAGGCGTAGACCTGTTTGGTCACTAAAATCTGTACCCGGGCATTTAGATTTAGTTTTGGTTAGGGCAAACAATGCAAAGATCAGTCCTCAGCCAAATATGAAGTTGTTTCTGCAACGAGGTGAATGTAATCATCAGCACCAGCCCTTCTTCTCAAATCTTCCCATCAGTCTACGAAAAGGTATCGCGGCATTCTCTCCTTAGTAGCACACAAACCACGACACAATGAGTTCTAAATTTGACGTTGTCATCTGTGGCAGCGGCACCGCTGGTTTAGCAGCCGCGACATGGCTGGCACAATACGGAGTTGACTGCAAGATCTTAGAGTCTCGATCTGGGCCATTGGATGTTGGGCAAGCAGATGGCATTCAGGTCCGATCTGTGGAAATTTTCGAAAGTTTCGGTATGGCCGAGGAACTGCTCAGAGAGGCCTATCACAACATTGAAGTGGCCTTTTGGGGCTCCGACCCTACAAGAAGTGGCATGGGCATCGTGCGCAAACGAAGCGCGCACGCCACGACCCCGGGCCTGTCACATATGCCTCGTGTTATCTTGAACCAAGCACGGTTCAATGGTATGTGGTTGGAAGCTATGAGGCGACTGAATCGGCAGGAAGTTGACTACGGATACAAGGTGACGAAAGTCACGGTTGATGAAGAGAAAGCCATGGATCCAAACGCTCATCCGGTAACCATTATGACTGAGAAAGGCGGTAAAGAGGAGGTGTTTGAAGCCAAGTATTGCTTGGTACATTATGATTTGCCCTGCTGTTAGTAACACTCCAGCTAACAATCTGCAGGCAAGCGATGGCGCCCACAGTGTTGTCCGAAAGTCTTTGGGCTTCAATATGGTCGGAGAAACTTCCGACTCGGTCTGGGGCGTGATGGACGTCTTTCCACGAACCGACTTCCCCGACATCCGGAAACAATGTATAATACAATCTGACGCCGGCAGCATTATTACCATACCTCGAGAAGGCGGCTCTATGGTTCGAGTCTATGTAGAACTCGCGTCAGGGACCAGAGCGAAAGAGGTAACACTTGAACATATACAAAATGCTTCGCGTCAGGTCTTTCAACCGTATGCGCTCGACGTTGCAGATGTATGGTGGTGGTCAGCCTACCCTATTGGGCAGCGTATCGCGGACCATTTCTCAAAAGCCAATCGCGTCTTCTTAACGGGGGATGCTTGCCACACGCATTCTCCGAAGGCAGGCCAAGGCATGAACGTCAGCTTGCAGGATGGGTACAATATCGGCTGGAAATTAGCCTCCGTCCTCAAAGGCCAGGCTGGACCCGAACTGCTCGAGACTTACGTCCTCGAACGGCAGAAGGTAGCAGATGTGCTGATTAACTGGGATAAAGTGTGGGCGAAACAAATGTCCTCAATAGCCAAAGAGGACGGCGGTGTCGTCGATGCCAACGGCAAGATTGACTTCAGCGAAGTCTTTGTGAAAGCAGAGGCTTTTACAGCCGGACTGACGGTCACCTACGACGATTCCATCATAACCCAGGCCGAAGGCAGCAATCAGCAAGCGGCCACAAATCTCAAAGTCGGGATGCGACTTCAAGGTGTCCAGGTGGTTCGGTTCTGCGATGCAAAAGTAATGAAATCAGTGAATGCTCTACCTTCTGATGGGCGGTGGAGGATCATAGTCTTTCCAGGAGACATTCGACAGCAGTTAGCCTCTACAAGGCTGAATCAAGTGAGTTATGCTTCGACCGAAAGCACATGTATCCTAATACGTAGCTCAGCTTGGAACATACCTGTTCTCAAATCATGGTCCGATCCAGAAATACCTACCTCCCGGCGCGGACATTGACAGCTTGATCGAGGTCATTGTAATTCTCTCTGGTGAGAGACTCGAGATACAACAAGAACAGATACCAGATGCTTTTTGGCCTGCAACCGGCAAATACCGGATGAGAGGTAAGGATGGCTCTTATATTACCAACGATTCAGCTTGCTAATGACAGAACTAGACTTGCACAAAATCTACATTGATGACGAAAGTTATCACAACGGCCACGGTCATGCATACGAGTTTTATGGAATCGACCCTGGACAGGGAGCAGTTGCCATTGTCCGCCCAGATCAATGTGAGTATCCTTGGCTTAGTCCCTTTCAGACAAAATATTGACCCGTGGCAGATGTTTCGAAGGTCCTCGATATGAAAAACCATGAAGGGATTGGTACCTTCTTCGAGAGATTTCTGCAAGAACAAAAACAGGCAAACGGCTCGCTGCAGGGTCAGACAAATGGTTCACTGAGTGAGCATGTGAACATGTGAATGGTTACGTCGATGGGTGAGGAAGGATGTTAAACACTGAATGTACCCCTTTCTCGTTGTGTGTTAGAAAATGGCGTCATACACCAAGGCCTTGACTACCTACTTGATATCGAAGGTGCCGCTACTTGGCAATGAAGGTCTTCCAACTTGTCTTCCATCTGAGATTGTTCTCTCCCGTAGTTGTTGGCAGTATCGACGTCCATAATCTCTATGACTCGAGACCCAGCGAAGCCTGAAAATGCTCTCGAAGCCTACTACGTACACCTGACATGTGCTGTGACGGGGACAAATGTGGATAGAGTACATGAGTTTGAAACAGATAACCGCCTTGGTCCCAAGCATATCAATAATCCGTGGGGCCTCGATTTCTTCCTGTAATATTCCTGCCTGATCCTTAACATAACTAGGTTTAGCGTGGGGGATATTCCGTATACTGTCCCTATGTGATTGAATGGATATATTCGCGAGGCAGGGGAAGGAAAAGACGACTGGCTTGATATGTAAGGTGGGGATAGTGGGGGAGGATGTCTGTATCAAGTTTACATAGTAATGGTCAAGACTAGTAAAAAAAAAAGATGGTCAAACTTTTGATTCCGACCTCCGTGTTTTCCAATGCTTTCCTAGAGTTCGGGATCCACGGTGCTGATTAAGTCAGCAATATTGGTTTGTTCGCTGAGGGTCATGGAGCGGGGGGGAAAACTGATTTCGGTGACTCCGTTTCGTGACTCGCGGCAAGATTTTCCGGCCCGCCCCTTCCGGTCATGCGTGTTCGTAAGCTGGTAGTGGGTCGAGCAGAGCCAGCCGGCTACAGGCACGCCAAGTGGAGAAGCCGAGGCAGCCAGATTGACAACCCAGGGATCATAGGCTGCTCTGTACCGTCTATATTCTGGGGAGGGGCGGCGCCTGCCCCAAGCTGAGTGCCTTCCTTCGTTGCTTCCGTAGCACAAAGGACGTCCATCTGTAATAACTTCGTTGCTTTTAGCCTCTCTCGTTGACACAACTCAAAACCATGCCCGCAATGGGTTTGAGGTTCCCCGATGCCGTTCAAGTAGGGCTGGCCGATGACGACGTGCATTCCCGAGTCCGTATTGCCGAAGAGGTCAACGGAAATCTGGCGTACTCGCCGGTCAGCGAACCAATGAACACGAGGTTTTGTCGGGAGGACTGCATATGCGAATACTACCGAGTACATGAAATGCCTGCTATCCGTGACCCCAGCCAAGAGTTGCAAAACGGCAGTGTATGACGCTTGGGGTTTGGCTGCGGTTTTTTTGCGTATAGATCGGGGAGCTGGGTTCACAAAGCGCATAAATCGAAGCTGCAGACCTTGGTGATCCTCCCGCCCCAAATCGTCAAATAGAGCAATCAGTTCGTGTGACGCTATACGCACCAATCATCGGATATCAACCTACCACTTGCCATGCATGTAAGTCACTTTCCCCCTTTCACACATAGGCATTAATGAACTTTATGTATCAAGGTCATCATCGTTGGAGCCGGCCCTTGTGGCTTTTCCTTGAGCTTGGTCCTGGCCCGGGCTGGTATACACGTGACACTGCTCGACAAAGCAGACGGGGTAGGTTCTCAGCCACGGGCTGCACACATCTTTGCTCCTGGCATACAAATGCTCAGGCGTGCTGGAGTCTTGGGAGACGTTCGGCGCGCTGGTTTTGTCCCCAAGAATTGGTCGTTTCGCAAGGCTGATGGCACACCGATCGTGACAATTGAGGACTTTGCACCGTCGAAGAGTCCAGATGCTACGACTGTACTGCCCATAGACACTCTGGGAAAGATCCTATGGTGCCACGCGCAGAAAAATGACAATATTTCTGTGAGATGGGGCTGTCATGTTCTGGACGTTGGGCAAGACGAAGACTCCGCATGGGTATCAGTCCGCGAGAATGGTGGGACTGAGAAGATTATCAAAGCAGACTTTGTGTGTGGCTGTGATGGAGCGACTAGCCAAGTACGCAAGTCGCTGTTTGGCGCGGAATTTCGCGGGAAAACCTGGAACGACCAGATGGTTGCAACGAACGTAGGTGGAGACTGGAGAAGTTGAATTTCTTGCTAAACGCACCCAGGTCTACTATCCATTCGACGAATGGGGTTACGATGATCTCAACACCTTCATTGATCCCAACGACTGGCATATTGTCGCTCGCCTGACGAAGGATGGACTTTGGCGCGTCTCATACCGACAAGACGGTAGCAAAAGTTTGCGTGAAGTTCTTGATGATCACCCTGCCCGGTTCGAGCACTTGCTTCCCGGCCACCCCAAGCCTGACAATTACACTATTCTCAATATAAGTCCGTATCGACTACATCAACGATCCGCGGAGAAATATCGAGTTGGCCGTATCTGTCTGGCAGCCGATGCTGCACATCTCTGCAATCCATGGGGTGGCTTAGGCTTGACAGGAGGCTTTGCAGATGCGATAGGGTTATCCGAGTGCCTCATAGGTATCCATATGGGTCGGGCGGATCATAGCATTTTGGACAAGTACGACGAGGTGCGTAGATCCATTTACTGGAATTTCACAGACCCGGTCTCAACGAGCAACTTCATGCGAGTCTCAACTTCGGACCCGGAGACGATCCTTGAGAAGGACCCAGTTGTCGCCACTCTTGCTCGTATGCATGATGATTCGAGGATTAGGGACGATTTTGACAGGGTATGTTTACATCCAAATACATCTGTCGACTTGGCCTCACTCTTGCAGCACATTTACGGTATCCTTCATGACTTTACTCAATACTACAGTGCTGGCAAGGGACAAGCATCACTCTGAAAGAGTGCGGTTGTATGGGATTCGGTTGTTTGGCGGTTATGTATCTGCAACTAAAGATTCCTTCTGACCTGGATCTCTTCCTAGGCTTTACGGCCGTGAATGATAAAGCATTGTTGTGGGACAAAGACCTCACTAATCGAGGGGCGGCTTTTCTTTCTAAGAGTCTGACCTGCAGAGTAATGCAATTATCAATGCATGATACCGTGCCAGATATTTTCAGCGTCTTAGGAACATTCATCATAATACTTGGGCGGACATATTACAGTAATACCATTGTAAGTGAAGTCAAGGAATTCCTCTTCAACAAGCATTAAAATCCTTAATATCATTTTGTGAAACAGACGTACTTCACAGGAAACCTTCCAATCTCACTCTTTCCTGGTACTATAGGCACAATTCAAGAGACTCTTCACTTCCTAATGTCTAATTCCACCAATAGGTTCAAAGTGATGTGATATAGCCATCCGAGAATCTTTCTTCCAAGCCACCCGACATTTAGGGGCGGCCATGGGCTTCGTCGACCTTATACCAAGACCGAGCTGACTTCGGTGCATGAGTTGACCGCCTCTAGGACGGGAATGTGCAAGAGATATAGTCAAGGCATCTATGAGGTGTCGCTCATTGAGAAAGTAATAACCGCTGCTCTTCAGATTCTTCATGAGGGCTCCGCTCTTCACAGCCATACCAATGCTTCCCATGAAACCAATGTCGATTACCGAGGCTGGAAGATTTTGGCCATGACGGTAGTTGACAAATGCGTCTAAGAACGAGTTTGCCGCGTTGTAGTTTCCCTGTCCCCATTGACCTGTGATGCCGCAGATCGAGGAGAAAAGTAAGAAAAAGTCTAGGTCAGCAGAAAGGGTAGCGTGATGCAGGTTCCAAGTGCCTTGAACCTTTGGCTGTACACACGTTTGCCACTCATCGAATGTCATCTGAGACATTAAGTTGTCCTTCAATACCACTTAGCAAACTTTCACATCAAAGGTAGATATACGTACCCGCATAACAGCCGACATCTGAATAACGCCAGCGATTGGAGTCGTCGCTTGCTTAATGGCTTCTTCTACATCTGGCAGATTTGTGACACTGCCCACAAATGGTGTCACTGTACACCCTTGGGCTCGAAGTCTGTCAAAAAAAGGCGTGGTCTCAGGCCCTTCCTTCGCAGAGCGAGAAAGGAAAATGATGTTCCGAGCCCCATTCTCTACCATCCAAGTCGAGATCATCCGACCGAGTCCCCCCAGTCCTCCGACTAGTAGGTAGCAGCAGTTTGGTCGAAACCGGACAGATTCGGGAACCATAGCGGTCATAGGGCTGAAGATTTGGAAACCAGAATCGTATTCAGCAGGGCGGGCGGCTAGATTAGCGTACTCTGCTTCAGCTGTTGTCCATTGGAGCCTCGGTATCTTGATCTCTCCATCCACAATCGCGTATTCGTAGTCAGGGTCGAGGTCTTTCGACTTGCCGCGACGGCTGAGACCTTCGTATATTTTGAGGAGCGATTTGCTCAGGCTGACATTCATCGTGCGCTTCGGATCCAGTTCCACCGTGGTAATGTCCTTTTTGAATTCAGATCTGATTGTTCTCATCAGGCCGAGTATCATTGACGAGTTAGGATTCTTGCAATAGATCTGGGCACTTGGGGTAACCCAGATCATTTTGCCTTTCATGCCTGAGACAAGCTTAACAAATTTAGACAGTTCAGCTTCTGTGATGTTGTACAGATATGGCTCGTCGAAGTCGACAAACACCATTATGTCTCGGCCAGGTGGTATGTCGCCATCTATCGTGGTTTTCACGCACTTTATGTTATGGTGCCCGAAGGTCTTCTCAACTTCGCGAATGAGAGGAAGATGATATGCCGGACCGACAACTGTAATTTCCGACGAAGTTTCGGGCACAGGTTGCTTCAGTCTCGCAAAAACTTTGGGTGCTGAGGTCGATCTACTGTCCTGATTGTCAAATACAAAATCACTCTCTCTCAGTGCCGCATACACATCTTCAAAGGAAGACTTGGTTTTAGACCCAGTTGACGCATTTGGAGACTCTTTGGTCAAGTAGTCCTGAAGATCATAGTCAGCATTATATTTTTTGTCGTGTCAGGTCCCACATGCCTTCAGTACCAATAACCATTCCGGTTCTGGAACTCCCTCAAGCAGTACTACATGTCCTTGAGGACGAATCAGTTGTTTGAGGTTTTTTGCACCAGTT